GAAGATCCTCCCTTTGCCTCTGGGGGGGATGAAGAACTGGAATTCCCGGTTCATGGAGGACAATACTTAGGATGTAAACAGCCATTAAGGGCAGTGATTGAGCAACAGAGCGTCATGGGAAGATCCATGCTGAAGGAGCTGGGAATCTCCTTCTCTTCCAGTGTCTTCTGCTCCATTATCCCCTGATACTTGAGCCTGAGCATCCAATGGAGTCAGGAGCAGATGGAGGCAGCAAAACAGCATCTCCAGGATGTAGAAAAGCACCCAGCCAGGGGAGCAAAGGCCTTTTCCCACCTGTGGGATAACTGGAATCGCACCAGTTTTGCATCCCTCATTCTTGAGGATAACGGGAATATCCTTACATAGAGTTAGGGTGGCATGGAGATGGTTTTTATGGATGTGGAATGGGAAAACCCAGGCAGGTTGAAGAGGAGTAGGGATGAGGCTGCAGTTCCTATGTGGAGCTCCCCATGAATCCATTATGGAAGAACCCGAACAACGCAGCTTGGAAAGGAAGATTTGGCCCCAAACTATCTTGGATATGGTCACAACTGCAGCCAGCTGGGGAGCTCTGGGGTTGTGGGGTGGTTCCTTAGGGGGTGCGGGGGGGGGGACACCCCATCTCCATGGGGAACGTCACCACCATCCCTTGTGTTGGCAGGACGTGTTCGAGATGCGCTTCGCCAAGATGCCGGACGAGCCGGAGGAGCCCGTCATCCCGGCCTCGTCTCCCGTCGTGGTGCCCCCTCCCACCAAGGTGGCTCCCCCCTCCTCCAGTGACAGCAGCAGCGACAGCTCCTCCGACAGCGACAGCTCCTCCGATGACTCCGAGGAGGAACGGGCCCAGCGCCTGGCGGAGCTGCAGGAGCAGGTACCGTGTCCATAGGGATGGAGCGGGGGCCTGATGCGGTCCCACTGCCTGCACTTGGGGCTGATGGCACCAAGGGGATCACTGCCTGCACTTGGGGCTCGTGGCACCAAGGGGGTCACTGCCTGCACTTGGGGCTCGTGGCACCAAGGGGGTCACTGCCTGCACTTGGGGCTCGTGGCACCAAGGGGGTCACTGCCTGCACTTGGGGCTCGTGGCACCAGGGGGTCACTGCCTGCACTTGGGGCTCGTGGCACCAAGGGGGTCACTGCCTGCACTTGGGGCTCGTGGCACCAAGGGGGTCACTGCCTGCACTTGGGGCTCGTGGCACCAAGGGGGTCACTGCCTGCACTTGGGGCTCGTGGCACCAAGGGGGTCACTGCCTGCACTTGGGGCTCGTGGCACCAAGGGGGTCACTGCCTGCACTTGGGGCTCGTGGCACCAAGGGGGTCACTGCCTGCACTTGGGGCTCGTGGCACCAAGGGGGTCACTGCCTGCACTTGGGGCTCGTGGCACCAAGGGGGTCACTGCCTGCACTTGGGGCTCGTGCACCAAGGGGGTCACTGCCTGCACTTGGGGCTCGTGGCACCAAGGGGGTCACTGCCTGCACTTGGGGCTCGTGGCACCAAGGGGATCACTGCCTGCACTTGGGGCTCGTGGCACCAAGGGGGTCACTGCCTGCACTTGGGGCTCGTGGCACCAAGGGGGTCACTGCCTGCACTTGGGGCTCGTGGCACCAAGGGGGTCACTGCCTGCACTTGGGGCTCGTGGCACCAAGGGGGTCACTGCCTGCACTGCACTTGGGGCTCGTGGCACCAGGGTGTGCGCTTGGGGCTCGTGGCACCAAGGATCACTGCCTGCACTTGGGGCTTGTGGCACCAAGGGGGTCACTGCCTGCGCTTGGGGCTCGTGGCACCAAGGGGGTCACTGCCTGCACTTGGGGCTCGTGGCACCAAGGGGGTCACTGCCTGCGCTTGGGGCTCGTGGCACCAAGGCGGTCACTGCCTGCGCTTGGGGCTCGTGGCACCAAGGGGGTCACTGCCTGCACTTGGGGCTCGTGGCACCAAGGCGGTCACTGCCTGCACTTGGGGCTCGTGGCACCAAGGGGTCTGTGCACTTGGGGCTCGTGGCACCAGGGGTCACTGCCTGCACTTGGGGCTCGTGGCACCAGGGGGGTCACTGCCTGCACTTGGGGCTCGTGGCACCAAGGGGGTCACTGCCTGCGCTTGGGGCTCGTGGCACCAAGGGGGTCACTGGCTGCACTTGGGGCTCGTGGCACCAAGGGGATCACTGCCTGCACTTGGGGCTGATGGCACCAAGGGGATCACTGCCTGCACTTGGGGCTCGTGGCACCAAGGGGGTCACTGCCTGCACTTGGGGCTCGTGGCACCAAGGGGATCACTGCCTGCACTTGGGGCTCGTGGCACCAAGGGGGTCACTGCCTGCACTTGGGGCTCGTGGCACCAAGGGGGTCACTGCCTGCACTTGGGGCTCGTGGCACCAAGGGGATCACTGCCTGCACTTGGGGCTCGTGGCACCAAGGATCACTGCCTGCACTTGGGGCTCGTGGCACCAAGGGGGTCACTGCCTGCACTTGGGGCTCGTGGCACCAAGGGGGTCACTGCCTGCACTTGGGGCTCGTGGCACCAAGGGGGTCACTGCCTGCACTTGGGGCTCGTGGCACCAAGGGGGTCACTGCCTGCACTTGGGGCTCGTGGCACCAAGGGGATCACTGCCTGCACTTGGGGCTCGTGGCACCAAGGGGGTCACTGCCTGCACTTGGGGCTCGTGGCACCAAGGGGGTCACTGCCTGCACTTGGGGCTCGTGGCACCAAGGGAGTCACTGCCTGCACTTGGGGCTCGTGGCACCAAGGGGGTCACTGCCTGCACTTGGGGCTCGTGGCACCAAGGGGTGTCACTGCCTGCACTTGGGGCTCGTGGCACCAAGGGGGTCACTGCCTGCACTTGGGGCTCGTGGACCAAGGGGGTCACTGCCTGCACTTGGGGCTCGTGGCACCAAGGGGGTCACTGCCTGCACTTGGGGCTCGTGGCACCAAGGGGGTCACTGCCTGCACTTGGGGCTCGTGGCCAGGGGGTCCTGCCTGCACTTGCTGTGGACCAGGGGTTCCCATGGCAGGGGGTCACTGCCTGCACTTGGGGCTCGTGGCACCAGAGTGCTTCCCAAAGGCAGGAATTCAGTGCCTTTGGCACCAGAGTGATGCCCAAAGGCAGGAATTTGCTGCCTCCACTTAGTGCTTATGGCACCAAAGTGGTTTCCAAAGGCAGGAATTCACTGCTTGCACTTGGTGCTTATGGCACCAGAGTGGTTCCCAAAGGCAGGAATTTGCTGTTTGCACTTGGTGCTTATGGCACCAGAGTGATGCCCAAAGGCAGGAATTTGCTGCCTCCACTTAGTGCTTATGGCACCAAAGTGGTTTCCAAAGGCAGGAATTCACTGCCTGCACTTGGTGCTTATGGCACCAGAGTGGTTCCCAAAGGCAGGAATTCGCTGCCTGCACTTGGGGCTTATGGCACCAGAGTGATTCCCAAAGGCAGGAATTTGCTGCCTGCACTTAGTGCTTATGGCACCAGAGTGGTTCCCAAAGGCAGGAATTCACTGCCTGCACTTGGTGCTTATGGCACCAGAGTGGTTCCCAAAGGCAGGAATTTGCTGTTTGCACTTGGTGCTTATGGCACCAAAGTGGTTCCCAAAGGCAGGAATTTGCTGCTTGCACTTGGTGCTTATGGCACCAAAGTGGTTCCCAAAGGCAGGAATTCACTGCCTGCACTTGGTGCTCATGGCATCAGGGTGGTTCCCAAAGGCAGGAATTCTCTGCCTGCACTTTGTGCTTATGGCACCAAAGTGGTTCCCAAAGGCAGGAATTCACTGCCTGCACTTGGTGCTTATGGCACCAAAGTGATTCCCAAAGGCAGGAATTTGCTGCTTGCACTTGGTGCTCATGGCATCAGGGTGGTTCCCAAAGGCAGGAATTCACTGCGTGCACTTTGTGCTTATGGCACCAAAGTGGTTCCCAAAGACAGGAATTTGCTGCCTGCACTTAATACTCATGGCATCAGGGTGGTTCCCAAAGGCAGGAATTTGCTGCTTGCACTTAGTGCTTATGGCATCAGAGTGGTTCCCAAAGGCAGGAATTCGCTGCTTGCAGTTAGTGCTTATGGCATCAGGGTGGTTCCCAAAGGCAGGAGTTCAGTACCTGTGCTTCATGCTCATGGCACCAGAGTGATTCCCAAAGGCAGGAATCCACTGCTTGCACTTGGTGCTTATGGCACCAAAGCTATTCCCAAAGGCAGGAATTTGCTGCCTGCACTTAATGCTTATGGCACCAAGGTGGTTCCCAAATACAGGAATTCAGTGCCTGTGCTTCATGCTTATGGCACCAAAGTGATTCCCAAAGGCAGGAATTCATTGCCTGTACTTGGTGCTCATGGCATCAGGTTGGTTCCCAAAGGCAGGAATTCAGTGCCTGTGCTTCATGCTTATGGCACCAAAGTGGTTCCCAAAGGCAGGAATTCATTGCCTGTACTTGGTGCTCATGACATCAGGTTGGTTCCCAAAGGCAGGAATTCTCTGCCTGCACTTACTGCTTATGGCACCAAACCTATTCCCAAAGGCAGGAATTTGCTGCCTGCACATGGGTGGTGACTCCAGACCCTCTGGAGCAGGAAGGACCTTCCAGAGGTTGTCTCTGCCCATGGTCAGCGCTTGAATCCCCTCCAAGGAGAGGGATGGGAGCTGGGAGAGGCCCCACCATAGCCCATAGCAGAGCCTTAGGTGTTCCTATGGAAGAGGAGCTGGGATGCATCCCGATGTTGGAATGTGGCTTCTCCTCAGCTCAAAGCCGTGCACGAGCAGCTGGCGGCCCTGTCCCAGCCCCAGCAGAACAAACCAAAGAAGAAGGAGAAGGACAAGAAGGAGAAGAAGAAGGAGAAGCACAAAAAGAAGGAGGAGCTGGAGGACACCAAGAAGATCAAAGCCAAGGAGCCACCATCCAAGAAGGCCAAGAAAAGCAACAGCAACAGCAGCACCTCCAGGTCAGCCCCATCCCAATGCCTTTTCCTTCCCTTTCTTTGCTGATGAATGGAATTACTGGTGGCATTCCTGAACCAGGAATATCAGGGTCGAGGTCAGCTTTGGGGTTTGAGCTGATGTTCTTCCATCTGGATGCTCCAAACACCCCAAGTCTAAGGGGGGGGGAATCACATGGAGTTGCTCTGTTGCAGCTCAAATCCATGAATCCACTCGTTTTTCCTAGTTTTCCCTTTCTTTGGGAAGGATTTGGGCGCTTGGAGGCAGGTTTGGGGTGCCCCAAGTGGATATAACCACAACCTGGGGTCCCTGGAGCTGGTTTTTCCCTTCTTAAGAACCAGTTTTAACACAGATGCTGGGATTTATGTCCCCATATGGGGTGCCAGGCTCTGGGACAGCTTGTCCCAGTGGGAACCAGGCAGCAGCAGTTGAGCTTGGGTCTGTCCAAGTGTGGATGTAAGGAATTCCCCTCTGGAGCTGCTCTTCTCTTTGGGAGAGCGACTCTTGGGATGGGCAGCTCAGCCTTGGGTGTCTTAACAGTGGCTTAAGCTCAGCTTCCTTGCCTAACTGTAGGTTGAGCTCAGTTCGGGTGTCTTAAAAGCAGTTTGAGCTCAACCTTGGGTGTCTTAACAGTGAGTTGAGCTCAGCTTTCTTGCCTTACATGGGCTGAACTCAGCTTTGGGTATCTTCATCACAGCTTGAGCTCAACCTTGGGTGTCTTAACAATGGGTTGAGCTGAACTTTGGTAGTCTAAGAACAGTTTGAGCTCAACCTTGGGTGTCTTAACAGCAGGTTCAGCTCAGTTTTGTCGCCTTACAGTGGGCTGAACTCAGCTTTGGGTATCTTCATCACAGCTTGAGTTCAACCTTGGGTATCTTAATGGGTTGAGCTGAACTTTGGTAGTCTAAGAACAGTTTGAGCTCAACCTTGGGTGTCTTAACAGCAGGTTAAACGCAGCTTTCCTGCTTTACAGTGGGCCAAACTCAGCTTTGGGTATCTTCATCACAGTTTGAGCTGAACCTTGGGTATCTTAAGAGTGGGTTGAGCTCAGCTTTGGCAGTCTAAGAACAGTTTGAGCTCAACCTTGGGTGTCTTAAAAGCAGTTTGAGCTCAACCTTGGGTATCTTAACAGCAGGTTGAGCTCAGCTTTCTTGCCTTACAGTGGGCTGAACTCAGCTTTGGGTATCCTCATCACAGCTTGAGCTCAACCTTGGGTATCTTAAGAGTGGATTGAGCTCAACTTTGGTAGTCTAACAAGAGTTTGAGCTCAACCTTGGGTGTCTCAATCACAGTTTGACCTCAACCTTGGGTATCTTAAGAGTGGGTTGAGCTCAAGTTTGGTAGTCTAAGACTAGCTTGAGCTCAACCTTGGCTGTCTTAACAGTGAGTTGAGCTCAGTTTTCTTGCTTTACAGTGGGCTGAACTCAGCTTTGGGTATCTTCATCACAACCTTGGGTGTCTAACAGCAGTTCAAGCTCAGCTTTCTTGTCTAACAGCATCTTAAGCTCAGCTTTCTGCATCCAGCTTCAAGCTCTAAGCGCAGAAGGGGCTCATGTGCAGTAAAACTCACACCCAGCACGGCTCAGGCCTTAACCTGGCAGAGCCTTAGACCCAAGCAGCCGCTTTTCTTCCTTAGGCCCTGCTCTAGAATAACCTTTCCTTGTTCTTAAGTAGTAAGAAGGAGCCGGTGGCGGTGAAGAACAGCAAACCCCCTCCAGCCTACGAGTCGGAGGAGGAGGACAAGTGTAAGCCCATGTCCTACGAGGAGAAGCGGCAGCTGAGCCTGGACATTAACAAACTCCCTGGGGAGAAGCTGGGCCGGGTGGTCCACATCATCCAGTCCCGAGAGCCTTCCCTCAAGAACTCCAACCCCGACGAGATCGAGATTGACTTTGAGACCTTAAAACCCTCCACGCTGCGGGAGCTGGAGCGGTACGTCACCTCCTGCTTGAGGAAGAAGAGGAAACCTCAAGGTACTTGTTGGCCTCCAAGCCCGGTTTTCCTGCTGGTTTTCCAGGGATTCAGATGGGGATGGAGGAGGAACATTGGGAGCGGATGGTCCAAACCTTTCTCCGCTCCACCAAAGGATTTATACTTCATTTAATTCCTTTAATTCACTTATTTCTCCAATTTCGCAGCACTGCTTAAATCCCAACATGGAGCTGGAATGTGCTGGCACCGTATTCCCATATATCCATCATCAGTGTTTGAATTATAATATCTGTCCAAAAGAGAAATGAGGTGGGAGAAAAGCAATTCCCTCCCCATTGGCATCCATGGAACACTCTGGAATGTGGCAGGATTCATGCTGAGCTTCCCACCTCCACTTGTTGGAGGTAGAAAAGGGTTTCCCCCCTTTTCTAAGACAGCTGGGAGTTCCTTTTTAATGGGTATTTTCATCTCATTCCCTCTCTTTTGATCTATTTTAATCTCTTTTAATAGTTTAATCTCTTCCCAACCAATTTTCAGTACATTTATGCATTTGTTACAGCCTCAAATTGAGTTTCAGGACATATTTTATAACCATTTTTCTTGTTAACATCTCCTAAAATCTGTGTTTTGTTACAAATACACCTTTATCAATGGCTGAAGAACAACAAAACTCTTCTGGACCTGAATCACCCATAGAAAAGGAGGTGTAGCAGCAAGCAGAAGGAGGGGATTTAAATGGAGTCCCTTGATTTGCCATGGCCAAGGGATACCAGTTACTTACTGGGATAAATCCAAGTGGAAAAGCAGCCCAGTTTATTCCTGGGAGCTTCCTTTATCCTTCTGTACCCTGGCAAAACAGGGATTTGAGTTCTTTAGTCCGGAGTTTTAGGGGTTTAGTAAAGGGCTCAGGCATCACCCATGGCTTTGAGCAGCTCTGGGGCTGTAACTGCCCTGCTTTAGTCTCCGTTTAAGGTACTAAAATCAGGGGATTTTATCCCTTTCCACCTCTTTATCCCAACAACTCAAACCCAGAGTTGAGTTTTCACCCACATGGGATTAACCCCCAGCTCCTGCTGGACGCAGGGTGGAGGAGAAGCCCCCCATGGGCTTAGGGCTCCCATAAGCCCAAAGTGCCAGAGGGGTTTAGGAGGCTGAAGAAGGAACAAGCCATCTGTTAGGACAGGTTTAAACCCCACTGCTCCCAGTCCTTTGGGACATCACACTCCACCCTGCACCAGCTCATCACCCCAACGACCACCACATCCCTACAGGGATAGAAACCAGCAGAGATGCGGGATTCAAGCTTGGCTTAGCTGGAATATTGGGGTGCTGCAGGGTCTTGGCCTTGGGGTCCCTCCTCAGCCTCTAACACGGCGCTGTTGTCTTCTTGCAGCAGAGAAGGTGGATGTAATTGCTGGTTCCTCTAAGATGAAGGGGTTCTCCTCCTCCGAGTCGGAGAGCACCAGCGAGTCCAGCTCCTCCGACAGCGAAGAGTCAGAAACAGGTTAGATGCAGCTTATTTAACACCTCAGTCCTAGCCCTGGTTTTCTGTATAAATAAATACATTTTCATTCCTGGCTCGGTCTTTTAATTATTTGATTGTCTTTTCTAATCAACCAACCCCTGATCTTGTTGGACACGGCCAACCGCTAGCAGCGTTGTCTGAGCAGGTCTTAAGCCCGACACGATGATTCTGTCCTAAGCTTTTCCTTGCTAAACTCAGGTTTAAGCGCTCTAAACCATGCACTGAGGTAGCTCTTTGGTTAATGGCCTGCATTGGTGTGTTGAGAGAAGCCCGGTGGTTTCACCTCCAAGGAGGGGTTGAAAACGTTGTCCTGTGCCAAAGAGAGGGGAGAAGGATGGAGGAAAGAGGGGTTAAAGATGTGATTTCACAGCAGCTTGATTAAAAACCTCACTTCTGTCACCAGAGTGGCGTCTGCTCTGTGTTAAGTCTTTGCTTCTCCCTCCTACCATCATAGGCTGGGCTTAAACGAGGCTGGTCGTCATGGTCGTGCTTTCCTTGCTCATGTTCCCTGCTTGGATTTAGGGAAGCAAAGCTTGTGTCGTCACTTAAAGCTGCTTTTAGCTGCTTGGGCAGCCCGGAATCCAGAGGTTAAGCTGGGCTTAAGGCAACTTTTGCATCTCCTATGGGTTGGGAAAGAGGGGCAGAAAGTAATGGGGTTTTCTTGTCGTGCCTGGTTGTGTGCAGAGGGCAAAAGGCACTGGGGAAAGGGGCAGCAATCCCCCAAAATGAACTAAAACCCCCCAAAATTCAACAGGATTGATGGGATTCTCCTTTGAGCCGGTGCTTCCCAGCAGTATTCCACCTTTAAGGGATGTGTTTGTCTGGGATAAGTTGGTATCTTCGACCAGTTTTACCTGTTTTGATGTGTTTTGAGTGGAAATGGCCTTTTCCTTTCTCCAGGGAGGTTTTAGGTTGTGATGGAATGTTGAGGGTCACTCAGAAACTGGAATTGGTTTTGGTGCTGAATCTGCCCTGGCTTTGAGGGGAGAAGCCAAACCCGCCGCCTCGATCCTCTTAAAACCACTTTTATCCCATTCCTCTTCATTTATCCCAAGCTCCCAATGGGATCAACCAAAATCAGTGACCAGTTAATCATGACCCCCCTTATCAGTCACATTGGCCAACATCAACTCATCCCAAATCCAGAGCCTTAATCCCATGGAGCCCATCCATTAAAATCCACCCACTAAACCTGCCTGCTATGATCCCCTAATTGGGTTTGATCTAAAATCCTCTGTTTTCCCCCCAAAGCCCATGATGGATCCACAGCCATCATCTCAGGGATCCCTCTGGAGCACAGCAGCAGGGATGTGAGGTGGAAGATGGGAATGTTGGGGATGTGACAGTGCCAAACCCTTCCCGTTTCAATGACCAGCACTGATTAAACATGGGCAAATCCTGCTCCTGCATTCCCATAGACAGGAAAATGCTCTTTTTGGAGTGTTTCTCCCCAAATCTCCTCTTTGGAGGTTGCTCTTCCATTGGTGTTTGTCCTCTTTTCAGTTGCTTTTCCCCAAATCCCACCTATTTCCAGTGTTTGCCATCCCAGATATGAGTACTTGGGATTGAGTTGGCCAGCATAGACTGATGTTATCCACACCAGTGCTTGGGAAAGGCTTAAGTGCTGCTCCAGCACGGATAAGCTCAGCCTACCACCACTAGGGGATGAATCCAACCTGGAATGCTTTGGGATGGATGTTAATTATGGGAATTAATCTCTTGTACTCCGTTAATTCCCAATCTCAATGAGGTTTTCCTCCTGTGCCTGATAAAACACATACTTAAAACCTTGACCTCAGGGAGATCTGATGGTTCTTCTCCATCCCAGTATTTGCCATGTTACCGTTGAGCCACTTGGAAGTGGGATTTTAAGATGGTTTAAGACCTTTTAAGATGGCTTTAAGACCTCTTAAGTTTGCTTTAAGACCATTTAAGATGGTTTAAGGCATTCTAAGGTGGTTTAAAACCTTTTAAAGTGATCTTCTAAGAGGTTAAGACATTTTAAGGTGTTTTAAGATCTCTTAAGACGCTGTTTTAAGACATTTCAAGATGCTTTAAGACCTCTTAAGACCTTCTAAAACCCCTTCCAGATGCTTTAAGACACGTTTTTGACCCTGAGCATTCTCTTGCTGGCTTAGCTGATGTGATTTGATGACCCTGAGGGCACAGGGCCATTGAGTTTGCTGTTGTACAATACTGAGCTGAGGATTTGCTTTCCCGTTTGCTCCTTCCCAATATTCCCTGTGCTGATTCCCATTGGATTTGCCAAAAGAGGCAGTTACAGCAGTTCTAAACTGGGGCTGACACCCTAAAATCAAGAAGCTGGGATTAATTGCACTTAATTACAGCTCCATTCTCCTCTCCTTTAAGTTGCCTTGGTGCTCTCCAGAGCTTTGGAAATGGGAATCCTTTCTATTGTCCCTATTGGAACCCACGCGACGGCTCCATCCCACCCTGTCATTGTATGAAATCGGGACTGTTTAGCCCCAAATCTACTTCAGAAGGAGAAAAAGCCATAACTCCTAATGCTCATACTGGGGTTGTGGCGCTGGGGCTGAGCCTTTAGCTCTGGGAGCCCAGTGGTGCCGATGGCAAGGGTTAGTCTGGTTTAACTGCTTGTAATTAGCCATTAGAGGATGCAAATGATCCCAAATTCCAGCCTGGGAGGAGTTCTTTTGCTTGCAAAGAGCCAGGAATGAGCTCTCTGATCCCTGGGATGCTTTTTCCAGCATCGGTGCTAAGGCTGGGCTGGGATTTAGCCACATTTGGGCAGCTTAAAACCCAAAAAGTGACCAAATTTGGGCTCATTTCATGGCAAAGTGGCTGAGGATCCCTACTCCTCCTCAATCCCCCCCCTATCCTTTGGGAGATGCTTCCCAAAGCCCCCCCCCCCAGAAAAGACCATTTGTGGGGAAGTAATCACAGAGCTACCCTAATAGCAGCAATTAAAACCTGAGGCTCATTTTGCTTTCCTACCAAGATT